ACCAATGAATAGAAAGAACTACTGGATAGGTAACCATTATGCACATGTCGTTTTGTTAAAACAGGCTTTATTTTTCAAAACACTTTTAGGTTTACAGCAAAATTGAGAGGAAGGTACAGAGATTTTTATACAACCCCTGATCCCACCCATGGATAGCCTCCCCCATTATCAATTTCCCCTGCCAGCGTAGTATATTTTTATAATTGATTCATTTATACACTTACACATCAACATCACCCAAAGTCTGTAAGTTTACGTTAGGGTTCACTCTTGGTGTGGTTCTGTGGGTTTGTTTAATGACATAAATCCACCATTATAGTATCATACAGAGTAGTTTCACTGCCCTAAAAATCCTCTGTGCTCCACCCATTCTTCCCTTTCTCTCCCCCACCCCTGGCAGCCGCCGATCCTTTAAGTGTCTCCATAGTTTTGCCTTTTCTAGAAAATCACATGGTTGGAATCATACGGTATATAGTTTATACAGTTTTTAATCCTCTACACTGTATCTAGAATATGACTTAAATTATTGCATGGTTATTTACACACATGCACACACAAACATAAAACGTTTATTGAATCAGTCACTGGAACCAAAAAAGTGGCCAGTGCTCTTGAAAAATCTTTTTTTTTTTATAAAGATGACCGGTAAGGGGATCTTAACCCTTGACTTGGTGATGTCAGCACCACGCTCAGCCAGTGAGCGAACCAGCCATCCCTATATGGGATCCGAACCCGGGGCCTTGGTGTTCTCAGCACCGCACTCTCCCGAGTGAGCCACGGGCCGGCCCTTGAAAAATCTTTCGTGAGGAGGGCTGTTGAAGGAATCAAACTCAGAAAATCGCATAATTACCTTTATGATAATCTAACATACTCCATTGTGCATGCAAAGTGTTAAAAGGTTCTGAGAGGGAAAAGGTGGCAATAGTAGGCCACAGAAGAGGTCAATTTTTAGCTGAATCACACAAAATGTTGGTCAGGCACAGAAGGAAAAATGGGCATTCCAAACAGAAGCAACAGCACGTGCAAAATCAGTCAAGAAAGAATGTACTGTGTTCAAGGACCCACAACACAACGCTTCACGACTGACGGATGTGTCAGGAGACCAGGAGTATTGGGAAGACAGGCAAGGCTAGATGGAAACGCTGTGAATGCCACTCTCTGGAGTTTGAACTTTATTCTGTAAACACCAGAAACCAATCAAAGTTACTAATCAAATAATGTTCATATGTACGTTTTAGGAAGACAACACTGGAGCCAGCAAAAAGCATGAACTTGAAGGTAAAATCAGAGCACTATTTCTCTCAATACCTACATAAGAATTTTTTTTTTTTTAAAGATGACTGGTAAGGGGATCTTAACCCTTGACTTGGTGTTGTTAGCACCACGCTCACCCAGTGAGCCAACCGGCCATCCCTATATGGGATCCGAACCCGGGGCCTTGGTGTTATCAGCACCGCACTCTCCCGAGTGAGCCACGGGCCGGCCCCCTCTGCATAAGAATTTTGATGTGCAAGGAGTATTAAAATGAAGATTTCTGGGGCCCACTGTATTAGTCCATTTCAGTGGCTTATAATAAAATACTTGGAACTGTGCGTTTTGTAAGAAAATGAAATTTATTGCTTACAGATTCAGAGGCTACGAATTCCAACGTCCAGGGAACACATTTGTTGAAGGCCTTGGTGGTGATGACAATGACCCAGGGGTCTCACATGGCAGAAAACGACAGAGCAGAGACAGTGAGGGACCAACTTCCTCATGCACTCTCCTTTTAAAGCCCTCAGAACCAGGCCCCTGGCCACCATTATTAACCTATTCACTACTGCACAGTCCTACAATCTAATCACCTTTTCAAGACCCCACCTTTCAATTACCATAATAGGATTTCCCACCCTTAACTGTTACAGTGGAAATTAAGCTTTTATTTTTTTTTATTTTATTTTTTTTTTAAAGGATGACCGGTAAGGGGATCTCAACCCTTGGCCTGGTGTTGTCGGCACCACGCTCAGCCAGTGAGCAAACCGGCCATCCCTATATAGGATCCGAACCCGTGGCCTTGGTGTTATCAGCACCGCACTCTACCGAGTGAGCCACGGGCCGGCCTGGAAATTAAGCTTTTAATATATGGACTTTGGGGGACACAATTCAATCAACCCACAGCACCCACACTTTAAGTGGTGAGTCATAATCTCCTGGCTCAAGGCCTGGTAATCTGCATATGTTACATCTCTTAACAGAAGAGTGATTCTTGTCATGGGCTGTAAAGTCTGAGACAGACTAGAATTAGAGAGGTCAGTTAGTAAGCTTTATGCAATTGTCTAAATAAGAAATGAAATGAGTTAGACCTGTACATGATGCCCCACTAGACTAGTTCAAAAACAACAAAAAAAATTGTTTTATGACAATTAAGTGGTCAACTATCTGCTCCAGACAGTTGTGTAATCTTGGTCATCATTAAAAGCACTCATATGCATACTTTTATTTGAGTGTTATGAATTCCTGGGAGTTAGGTAAAGTATTGATCACCTTCAATTAAAAGATTAAATAGAGAATTTAGATGTTTCACAGGAATACAGAGACATTCTTATTTGTTTGCTTGCTTGTTTATTGTCTGTAAAGCTAGGGCTCACAGACCCCTCGAGTCTGTTGCACAGACTGGGTCACAAACCCTCCACCCGCAGGTCTGTGAACTAGGTAATGGGGGAAAAAATGTTCTGGGAGCCGTGGGTATAGAAAACTGAATGGGTTTTATTCAGATCTAGGAGCAACTGTCCTAGTGGCTCCTCTGAGAGTTCTGAGAAGCACTGTGGATCAGAGCTGTTAGTCTTTTATACTCAAGTCCACAACCCTGGACACCTGGGTGCCCGTACACAACTTACCTTAAGCAGTAACAAGGCACACCTGAGGACATTTACAGCAAATGCTCCACAAGGTTCTGAACATCCGAGGGGCCCTGACATTTTCCTATTTTTCCCAACAATTGTCTGTCTCCTCAAGCACTGCAAGTCCCAGGAGAGAGGACAGCTGTCTCTGCCGCCGTTAATGGGGCACCCGTGCAACTGTGCTTGGCGTAAAGTAGGCTCGCGGCGAACACTATGAAAAAATGAAAGATGGAAAAACGAAAACAGAAAGAAACCATGCATCGTCATGTAAAAGCAGGAATATTGGACGGGAATTAAGGGACCCCGTTTTTCCTTCAACCATTTATTCAACACCTATGCGGCGCTACATGCCGAAGTCACCTGTCCTTGCGGCACTGGCAATGCCAGTTTCCGGTTCCTCGGGAGCGTGGAACCCTGACAAGTCACCTGCCTTAACTTTGGTCCTTAATCCCGTTTGTAAAATGAGGGGGTGGCCCGAAGTGAGCTGACAACCAAAGCCCTTTCCAGACCTCGCTTCTGTGACCCACTCGCTCTCCCCTCTTGATTCAGTCCCCCTTGCGCAGTGCGCGCAGGACCGTGCCAGCCTCCACCCAGGACCAGGGCCTTGCCCACGTCGCAGAAGTGTCACCGCTGCCCAGAACCGGCTTCTCCACGAGCTACAGACATGCTCAACAGAAGCACACGTGGAGGCGGAAAACAAGGTGGCACTAACCGTGTTCCTTCACGACCGGGGCGGAGGAGAGCGCCCCCGCTCCGGCCACCGCGCGTCACGACGGCGCGCGTCCCCTCGGACGGAGCTTCCCGGCACAGGGAGGGCGGAGGGGCGAGGCGCCCACCGCGCGCAGACGCTCCGGGGGCCCCCAGCGGCGAGGGCGGGAGGGCGGGCGGACGGCTCCGGGCAGGAGCGAGGCTCCCATTGGCCGAGGGCGGGTGACGGGCAGGGGGCGGGGCTTCCCGGGCGCTATAAGGGAGGGAGGGGGTGTGCGCGGCCGGCGGCGGTGTCGCGGTCGCTGCTCTCCCTCCCGTGCACGGGAGGCCCGGGCCAG